TGCCTAGAGATGGCGCTTCCGTCGGCTTTCTCAAGTGAAGGTGGAGCGTTGAGTGAAGGGACTTTCTAGAATACGGGCATAAGTGACCGCATAGCTCGCGCACATTGATCCTCGAGGTGAGCAGGTCGTCGTGTGAATTAAAACCGAGACGCGATCCACGATATTCGCGTTGGTAAAAAGTTGCAAGCTACACAGCACAGGAGAGCACGCGGACGAATAAGGGCGACATGCACACACACATTCTATAGTAGTAATTGTAACACTGCATTCTGCATCTTTGGTGTTGCCGCTGCCACGCAATCACGGGAATGCTGATGATTACGCAGGTATATGGATTTGGTACGCTCTCTCAATACATAACGTAACCGCTTTGGTGAACAAACAGGTCCCACCGCTTTAAGGCATTGAAAGGGCGCCTGCTTTAACAGAACAGCTCTCACTCTCTCTTTCACCAGCCACGAAGAAGTTCAAACCTACATTCAACCTTTCTAAGCTGCGGTGCCCATTCAGAAGCATCATTCTGCAGCCTCCCTTGGCAAGTCATTTGCCGTCGAAACGAAGCTCGGACTTTTGCGACTGAATGAAACTAAAGAAAGCCAAGATATAATGACCCTTTCTTCATAGCGTGCCCCCTCAAGTGCTTTGAAAATAAGCGGCTCACTATAGCGGCCTTTGGAGCGGCGCACTTGAGTGCAGAATGGAATGCAGCCTCTTGATTTGCGAGCTCGCTGAGAAAAGAAGTAGCCGGCCGGCCGGCCTCAATAAAAGAGCGCATGTATCCAGATGTAAATACAGAATGTTGCACCGTATATACGCACGCTTTGAGTGCACGCGCCCTCCCAACCAAGCGACGATGTAAGTGGTTTCAAAGTCTCAACGGTTTGAGTAGCCCCAGTTTGAGCGCCGGTGTATAGCATGCAGTGAATGAGAAGGCCCTGATATGCATCACGCTGCGAGCGGCTGAATCATGAATGAAGCGCTTTTTTGCACTCAACAGAACAGTCGCTCGTCGTCACGTTTGCGAGGCACCAAAGCCGGCTGCCACGACGCAGTTTACGGAAGTTCACAAAAGGAATGCAGATAAGGTTGCGCTCAGTGTATTCAGATATATCGTTTGTCCTCATTTTTTTTTAAAGACGATAGTCTTTTTCGGTGACCTTCGACAAAAAAATTTTGGACTGTCTGTCTATACATTTGTCTGTTTGTTCGCCCTAACGATACCTCAAACCAACGTTACTAGATACTTTTTTCAGTTTGCAAACTGCGGCGCCGCGAGTGTCACCCTTCCCTGTACCGGTCAAAAAGCCGCAAGCGCGCCCCCTCTCGGCGGTGCCGTCTGACAACGGCACCGACGCTGTCAGCGTTGGCGTGATCTGCATGGTGCCGGGTGTTTTTTTAATGTCTTCAACTCAGTCATCGCTTTCCCTGTGAGCTACACAGCTCACATGTGTCATGTGACGGTTCTTGAATGTGAGAAAACATGCCTCGCTGCTTTGTGACTGGTTGCCGAAGTGGGTACGATTCGACGAAATACGCGGCCGAAAAGAGACATTTTTTTCAAGCCTCCCGCTGAAAATTCATAGAGGAAAAGCTGCTAAAGATCACTTGTGAAACGTCCAGAGAACCTGAAGAGCAGGATGGCTTTGGAAATTTTAACCACCTGGGGTTTCTCTAACGTGCACCTGAATCGAAGTGCATAGCCCTCTAGCATTTAGACTTAATGCTGTGGCCCACTGTCAATGGTTTTTTTTTTTTTTACATAGGCAATCGAGTTTTAAAGAGCAGGAACGCAAAAGAGCTGTATGAACAGAAGTCCCTCAAGATTCGGGCATCGCGCTGACGTCTCTGCCGTGTGGCATCGCCTTAGCGGCTCAACTGGTGATTTACTTGCACACTCGTAATAACCTTCACTCACCCTCTCGGGAAATAACTCCCATTACACAAAATTAACCGCGTAAATTCCGTTTAACATTGCGCGAAGGCTCCGTTACGATGCGGCGACCGGTCAAATGGCGTCGGAAGCGCCACCTAGAGAGCGGGAAACGAAGGGGGCCGCGTTTCGCCGCCGCATCCCGGCGGAGTTTGCAAACTGAGGTAATCTAGTAACGTTGCCTCAAACGGCACCAAGCGGCCAACCCCATTCGCAGCACCCACCAATATTGCTCAAGGTTTAGCGCTCATATTTGTGCAATTGTCAATTAAAAAGCAATTATTGCGCATATCTGAGGCGCCACAGCAACGCTTCGATGTTTAACTCTAAGCACGTTAGAGTTACTGTATATGCTACCTAGAGGTAGCATATACAGTAACTCTAACGTGCCTAGGTGCGCTCGTTCGCCTCCGCCACACGCTCGCGGCACTCCAACGCAGCGCCTGCAGAATACCATTCACCGATTTGCCTGAGCAGAACATAAATAAACGTTTTGTTCACTCTCGCCAGACGCAAGACTATCGTCTTTTGACGACATTTACAGTGTCACATGTATATTTGGGCCATTTTTTTTTTGCGTAGCTGCGCAAGCAAGATAATCATAGAGTAACGTAAAAATGACAGTAGTGGTCACTCGGGCCAAAATGCGGCTGAGCTACGCAGCTTCACCAGCCGTAAGATGACAACACATCTCTTACTGCCTCAAGGAAATTCCGATGGAGGCGGAAATGTTGTAGGCCCGTGTGCTCAGATTTGGGTGCACGTTAAAGAACCCCAGGTGGTCAAAATTTCCGGAGCCCTTCACTACGGCGTCTCTCATAATCATATGGTGGTTTTGGGACGTTAAACCCCACATATCAATCAATCAATGCCTCAAGGAAACACGCGTACTGGTGTTCAGACGTAAGAAAAGTGCACATCATGTGGCGTCGACGTGACGGACACGTTGTCATGCTCCGTGTTCATGAGCATTTGCGGCAACGAAGAAGTATACGGGCAGCAGCAGCCATATGTCATAATAGATGTGCGATAACGTGCCTGGCGTGCGTCGTGGTCTTCGCCTGTTTCGGCTGCCTCTTAGCTTGGCTGCTGGTATAGGTACGAACGCCATCAATATTACGTTAAGTGCGTATTGCATTCGTCAATGAAGCCTTAACCTAACGTTTCTGACATTGTGCTGTTCGGCGCAGAGATCTTTTTTTGTGCTCTTCACTTCGCGTACTGTTCTCGTGGATTGCTTCACACGAAAGAAAACTGTCAGGAATGCTTCGCAGCACGTTTGCGAGAAAATTCTTTCTTGGTTCAAGAAATTAAGTTGCCAGTCGCACTGTTGTGTTTTCTTTGTGCCGCTACAAGTATTGGAATTCACTGCATGAGTGAGATTTTGTGAAAAGTGCAGCTATTCTCAGTATCGTTATCTGTGCCGTTCGCAAATTGCTTAAAGCTCAAACGGGCGCAATAAGAGAAGTGCTGAATCTAAAGAAAATGTTTGCTAGCTTAAGCTAGGACGTAATCTTGGAGTAAACAGTCCTGCCTCATTAACGGCTTGCATGACAACTGAAATTGCTTCGTTTTTGCTGCGGTAACTGCTTGTGGCTGTTTTTGCGAAAGTGCGATGTAAAGTGCGCAGGAAAAAATTAGTGCGAAGGTGGGAAAGAAAACGTACCCAACATTTTTCTTTTCTTTTTTCGGTTTATGCCGGAGTCAAGTGCTGAGGCAACTACTGTCGTGTCGCGTTGTGCATGTATGTGTAGTTGTGTGCGTTTATTGCAGTTTTATTCTGCGGCGGTTCTCGTTATATTGTTGCCTATATGTTCATTTATTGTGTGTAATTTATAGTCATGATATGGCAGCTGTATTTTCACGTCTCACAGTGAAATGAACCTCTCTTTGTGCTTGCGTTTATCAAACATTAACAAAGTGGGCATGTGATTACCAAGAATATCACTGAAAAATAAAAGTTTTCGCTCCTCTTATGATTCTCATGTTTTAATTAAAGTGTGTGCATAGCCACACATTGGCATCGTGTGCTAGCCGCTCTAGTGGTGCAGCTTACACGAAGCTCATCGATGCATGCAAACGACGCGTTAAAAAAACAGAGTATGGCCTCAGAGATGCGCGCGCACGTAGAAGTGGTCTCAGAGGCTGTATAATAATCTCATAGTCACTACAAAATGGCATTCGAGACAGCCTTTTCTGCCGTCTGCCATCTCTGGGGGTGGAAAGTTTCAGCACACCCGTTTGGTGCGCTGCGAACCCAAATCAGCCGCAGGGGCCTATGGAAGTGTCCTCTCTTGACATTTTATATTACTCTATGAGTTAATTAGAATCCATCACATCTGTAGAGTTATTTAGTTGAGATGGACAAAAGGTTCGGAGCATACCTAAGCGTAGTATTACGCTGCTGCTGAAAAAATTAGCGTGGGCAGAGCATGTAGCACGAAGGAAAGTCAATCGCTGGTCACTAATGGTAACAGAGCGGATTCCAAAAGAAGGCAAGCACGCGAGGAGGAGATGATAGATAGATAGATAGATAGATAGATAGATAGATAGATAGATAGATAGATAGATAGATAGATAGATAGATAGATAGATAGATAGATAGATAGATAGATAGATAGATAGATAGATAGATAGATAGATAGACGAACCTTCTATATTATACAGTGTGAATATTTTAGAAGAGTATAAAAGTTTGTTGGTTCAAGTGTTTTTTGTAATGATTTTAACTACGCTATAAACAACTACAACACAAGACGTTGCCCACGTGCTGTCTTCGTGTTTTGTGTCATTCTTGTCTTTAGCGCGGTTAAAACCATTACAAAATAAGCCTGTAAATGTGTTTTTACATGTATTGCCACGGGCGAAAACACCGCGTTTCTGCAAGGTCTCATTTGGTAGTCTTCACAGCTGAGCGGGCTTACAGTTTGTCCAGAGGGGAATTGTTTCACGATCGGGTATATGGCAGGACGGCGGCGACAACGATGCCTTGGTGGGGGCCAGTTTGTGGAGATAACGGAACGCGCAGTAAAACGACAGAGATTAGGCAGCCAAGGCTATAGGCAGGCCGTCATCTCGAAAACTTTCGTCCTCTTGCTCACCAAGGAAGACCCCAGACGCCACAGGACGAACTAGACTAGTGGGACCGTCGGTACACGAAATTCAAGTTCGAGTTCATCACTTTCTGAGATTGCAAGAGAAAAAAGAGAAAGATGAGCACGCTTAAGGAGATATGCTCTGGATTGCCACTGGACCCACTGCCTCCACCCAGAGCCCGAAACCCTGCTCTGGCTCACGCTCCGGACAGGCTCGTCCCGCTGACCACAGATGAGACTGAGGTGAGCGGTGATTCTCTGATTTTCGCTTGTCATTGACGAGACGCTCGTCTATATGGCGCGTCATTCATTTTAACACATTTCTATACATAAACCTCTGGCATATGTTCGTAAATCGGATACCAATATCTTATCGAATTTAATTACGCAGGTCAGTGGCGTAGCCAAGCCATAGCACAACAGGCCCGTGCGCCCCTCGATTTTTTTTTTCATTATGCCCAAAATGACACTGCCAAAATCACAATCGATCACATATACCGGCCCGTGTGTGACTTCAGGTAGAAAATCACAGCATATCCACAGAGTACATGATTATGAGTAGGGCGAAGCGTCCGTCAGTCCGTTCATTCTTGCTTCCATTCATCCGTGCGTCCGTCTGTGCGACTGTCCGTGCGTCCATCTGTCCGTTTGTGCGTCCATCCATCCGTCCGCGCATCCGTTCGTGCGTCCGTCCATCTGTGCGTCTATCCATGCGTCCGTCCCTGCGTTTATCCATCCATCCGTGCGTCCGTCCGTTCATCTGTCTCTCCGTCTGTCCGTCCATTCATCAAGTGAACACTCCAAGTACCGCAATCTAACATCTTTTCATCATATATTCAGCGTGAAAGTTATTGTATAAGCTACCTTTTGGTAGCAGATTTGCGCCAAGGTACGCCATTTTGGGTTCAAAAGTCTTGCGGGAAAGCCACTCACTACCCGCGTAGGAGCAGTGCTCGCTCTTCAGAGTACTAGCGTTGCTTCGTTTATTTTTTCGCTTTCTTTTTATTTTCTAAAAAGGTACGAGCGAAAATCGGTTCCTACGATCACGCCTAGAAGTCCTGATTTTATGTTTACCTTGTTGGTACACAATGATGAAACAAAGTGCGTCGACTCGTTGAACCTGCGAAATGTAGATGTAGATCCTAAACTTGTGGCTCACACCCACCACCGGCGATTGGCCAAGAATCAGGTAGCATAACAAAAAGGAATATATATATTTAAATACTAGCCAAAGCAATATTAACAGAAATATTGATTTTCTGTATGTATATATTCATATTGATCACACATTCGCTTCGTCTTCTTTTCCACTGTTTTTTTTTCTTTCATTTACAAATATGAAAATATTTCTCTCACTTTTGATCATGATCAGGCCAGTTAGGAATGAATTTTTTTTGCTCGCGTTGGGTCCTTGGCCAATTGAATCGAGCGGGATAGAGACCGAGAGTGGCCGTGCGACGGCCGCGTTACAGGCGTCTTTCGTATTGCGCTCGTGTTACAATCGTGGCTCACGACAGCTGATGTGAATCGTCGAACATTCCTTTCGCTGAAGGTTTGAAAGCTGCATTAAATTCACGCGCTTGCAGCAGCACCTTGCCTGTTCTGTTCTGTTCTAACTGTTTTGTTGTGGAGAGGTTGATGTCTATATTGCCTCGGCTACTCCACATTGTCACAACCTAGAAACAGCAAGACACGAGACTTTGCTGCGGCAAGAATAAGCAAGGAGGAGGAGGAGGAAGAAAGTTTAAGCGGAAAGACAGGGAGGTTAGCCAGTTCTTAGACCGGCTGGCTACCCTGTGCTGGGGAAAGGGGTGAGGGGAATGAAAGATGTTAAAAAGAATTGTTGCGAAGAGAGAGAGAGAAATTACACAAAAAAAATGCGACAGAGGAAAGGCAACATCAAAGAGTATAAGACACTAAAGTCTGTCTCTGAGGCCAGTTGTCCGCAAAAAGCGCAGCAAAGCTTTCAAAGCCTTCTGGGCTGAGGATGGGCTCGGCCAATGACCCAGAATCCTTTGTTCCGACAAAGGCCGATCGTCTAGTCTATCCAGAGCTGCAGTGAGTTCTTGTCGGTGCACGTTGAAATGGGTGCACTCACACAGAAGGTGCGCGATGGTTTCTTCGCAACTGCAGTAAGTGCATGTAGGAGAGCTGGCCATCCCAAGAACGCATACTCTTATGTCATTGAGAATAAGCAAGGCTGTATTCAAACGCAAGGACACAAGAGCAGACGCCCCAACGTCGTCTTTTTCGAAAAAACTAGCAACTGCTGCTCCTGCTTCTCGCTTCGAGGCTCCTTTGTTGTGCCGCCGACTATTCATCGTGACAATATCGATAACACTTTGCCGATTTGAAAAGTTCTAGTTTAACTTCTCCCTTTATTTTGAGTGTTTTACTCGTCAGACAAATAGGTCAAATTTTGCAGTGCCTTGAATGGATGGATGTATGGATGAATGGATTGATGAAAAACTTTTTCGGGGTCCTGAAGGATTCCACTCCCGTTTTATTGGGGTAGGATCGCGGATCACTCCCACGTAGGGATGGAGAGAACCTAGCCTCACTGCCACATCGTGGGCCCTCTGGACAGCCTTGAGTTATTATATGAGAACCGGAGAGAGAGAGAGAGAGAGAGAGAGAGATAGAGAGAGAGAGAGAAGCGAACGTTTATTTTTGAAACAGTGCTCCGAACAATGCCCGTTGTCACCCTGAGGTGGGAGGGCTCCTTAGTCCAGAAACCCTCTGGCTTCGACTGCCCTCTTGGCCCTGGCGACGAGTTGTTGTTGGTCTTCCAGGTCCTCGAGGGCGAGCTTCGCCTCCCACGTTTCGGTTAGGTCTTCGTTCGTCCGTACTGGACTCGTGAGCATTACATTAAAGAAATTTTCGGAAAATTATTCACTTTTTTCCTTGTAGATAAAAAGAATTAAGCCAAGCGTGTACTCCTGGCACACCAAACAATAATCTAATAAAACAACCCACGTCTAATCACATAAGCTGTACGTAGTACAATTCAACGCAGAATACCTGCTACCACTTTTTTTCGCGATCAACAAGCAGTATGGGTACAGTACCGAAGAAGCATGGCGAAAATAACAACAGCTGATGTCAACCACGCTTGGTCTGCCCGGAATCTGCTGTTACGAGGAGAAGAGGCTTCAACTGTCTCTTGGGTAGCGTGTCGCGAAGGCCAATGCCGGGCAGGGAGCATCCAGGCTGTGTCAAGGCAAAATGCAGCCAGAAGGAAACAAAAAATTCATATTTACAACGTATGTACGGAACGTGGCCTGGAAGCCTCCGACGCTAGATGCACCGGCCTTTTGCAGGCGCCGAGACGCTGAAGGAGGAGGGACGGCACCGCCATTGAGACACACCCAGAGTCTGTGACGGACGCACTCGGTGTCTGTGCGAATGGCACCAGCACGCTAATAACACTGCGAAGCATCAGCGTCGTCTGCGTAGTGTTGGCTTCTCCGCAGTGCATTTGAACCACATATGACCACGTGATGGCGCGAGACCAATAGCGTTGCTCAAATCGTCAACAGCCGGGTGAGCGGCGCCCGGAAAACAGTGGAGCAACTCTGCTATCTAAAGTTAGCATATAACGTAACTCTATTCAGCATATAGAAGAACCATCATCCAGCGGACATTCCGGGGACTAAACTAAAGGTGGCACTCGCGCACTTTCTTGCGGCCTGCGCTTCGTGTTTACTTCCCACCTTTCACCGCCTCTAGTTCATGGCGATATACTAGATCACTATATTCATTGCACTGTTTGAAAAAATGTTTAATGATTTTGAGTACTTCGTACTCAATTATGGGAGCGCACTGAGCCGTCCCGCTGCCACCCAACCCTCGCTAATATTGCTGACCAAGGAGGTTACACCCAGCGAGTTTTACGCGGCAGCCCTTTCTGGTCAGATAGTGCTCAAAGTGCGTCATTCTGATACTAGTTTTTTTTTTAGTAAGCATCAAATTCAAGGCAAATTTTATTGGAGATTGGGTAAGCAATACTCGTCTCTGTAAGTTATTGCACCAGAAACAATCATCTTTTCATTTATGATTAACGTGCGCAAGTTTCCTCCTCAATTGGAAAGGGTGAGCGCGTGCCGCTCCTGCAGTCCGGCCGTGGAGGCGGCGGCCTACTACTACGACGACTACTGTAACATACATCGCGGACGCACGACCCACGGTATAGGGAGCCTCGTCCCCAAAAAGGTGCAACCCCCCCCCCCCCCCCCCCCCTCTTCTGAAAACAAATTTGCGGCTACGAATGAGGGATCTCTTCGACAACCGGCGCACATTTTCACCCCGTTTTTTGGTAAGCTGGGCGCTGGCCACTCAAATATGTTGAATTTTAAATGCGAACCATTTCTTAGCGAACTTCGGCGACATTGAGCGTATCTATCTATCTATCTATCTATCTATCTATCTATCTATCTATCTATCTATCTATCTATCTATCTATCTATCTATCTATCTATCTATCTATCTATCTATCTATCTATCTATCTATCTATCTATCTATCTATCTATCTATCTATCTATCTATCTATCTATCTATCTATCTATCTATCTATCTATCTATCTATCTGTATGTCTGTCTGTCTGTCTGTCTGTCTGTCTGTCTGTCTGTCTGTCTGTCTGTCTGTCTGTCTGTCTGTCTGTCTGTCTGTCTACAACTTTTAGCTCTCCTGACCGTTTCGATAATGGGATCGCTACCAAACTTGGTATGGCATTACATGACTGTATGAATAACATTTGACCAGTAATAACATGAAAATCATGACATGTATGTTATGAATGTCATGATTTACGTTTCATAATCCTGCAGCTCTTGTGGTGGTTACGTTCACATGGAATGTTGCAAAACTGGTATTGTATGGCACGATTGCATGGCGAACACAAGCGACAGACCCTAACATGAAAATCATGACATGCGTGTCATGTAACAACATGACTACATGTTACGTTCATGATGCGCTCGCGGCCGTTTCGCTAGCGTCACGCATACCAAATTTGGTATTACATATGTGAATGAATAAATGACGAAGGTATGTAACTGGTGCAAACATGATAATCTGGACATGCGTGTCGTGTAAAAACATGACTACATGCCACGCTCATGATGTGCTGGCAGCCATATCGCGAGCTTCACTTATACCATATTTGGTATAACGGGCCGTGAATGGATGGCAAATGTATGATAATGGTGAAAACATGATAAACGTGAGACGCGTGTCATGTAA